TTTATTATTATTATTATTATTATTATTATTATTATTATTGTTATTATGATTATTATTATTATTATTATTATTATTATTTTCTGTTAGAGGATAGAACGGGTTGTAAAGGCCTCCAGGCAGACGTCTCTGACTTTGACTCTGCCTAGCAACAAGTGATGGCTGAAATGTGATTGGTTAAATGCTTTAATATGAAAACACATGTCTGGAATCAGCACAAGCAGGGGAAAAGCTACTCCTATATTTTGTAAGGGGTTTTTATTTTCACGTTGTATTTATATTCTTATTCTTTGCTTGTTTTTTTGCTTAATTTTGCTCTCTGTGTGCCACTTTTTTTTGGCCTGTAAACTGCTGGTAACTTTAATTTCCTGAGGGAGTCTTCCCAAGGGATCAATAAAGTACAAGTCTAAGTCTAAGTCTAATGAAAGGAAGCGGACAAACCATTTGGAAATATTTAATAAGAAAGAAAAAAAAAAGAAGAAAAAACAAAAAAGGAAAAACAAGGAAAAGAAAAGAAAAAAAGGAAAAGAAAAAAAGGAAATATTTAATAATAAAAAACAAAAAAAGGGAAAAAAGGAAAAAAAAAAAAAGAAAAAAAAAAGAAAAAAATGGGGAGAAAATTAGAAAAAAAAGGAAATATTAGTTAATATTTAATATTAAGGAAATACTTAATTATTATTAAGTATTCATGGACAAAATATAACTAACATCAGTCTGTGATTCAGATATTTTCTCTGGCCCACCACTGGCTCTATGACTGAAGCTAACTGCGTAGCGGTGTTAAGCTAACCCCCGTTTCCTGTTTTCAGATAAAGGAGAGCGGGACATGATCATCATGAGGAACGACGTGGGAATCCGACACCAGACCGGAGAGCTGGAGACCAAGCACATCAACCTGGTGGTTTACGGAGAACCCAACGGGTTCTCCGCCATGGCCAAAACCGTCGGGTACCCGGCGGCCATCGCTGCCCGCATGGTGCTCGACGGTGAGCGATTATGCAGAAATGTTCAGTTTTCAAAGCCTGTCTTAAGAAGGATGCTATATAATGAGCAAACGTGAAAGTCAGAACAATGAAGAGTTATTATATAGTGTTTATAGTTCAGACAGGAGGGGATTTGATAAGACTATAATTTAGAGAAATAGCAATCCCAGAGATATATGTATATATATATATGTATGTATATTTTAGTTTTATATTTATATTATATTTATAATATATATATATATAATATAATATATCATATATTTTTGTTATATTATTTTATTTATATAATATATAATATTATATATAAATATATATATAATTTATATTTTATATTTTTATTTTTATTTTATATATAT